TTAATATACTTTTATAACAAAACAAAAATTATACTTGTATGTTCATGCTGAAACCAAATTCATGAAATGCAAAGTAATAATGCATGTATAAAGGTTAGGCATAACCTTGACCTGGTGGTCTAACCAAGCCAACTTCAGAACCAACATTGCCCTTTTATAGAGAACCGAACCATTTGTTAAAAATTAATGATTTGGCCAAAAACTACACAAAAAAACTTTTGATTGAATACTTATATATGTACGTCACTTTCCATCCCCAACTCTTCCGTGTCTGCAAATGAAAGTTGCTTGGCGAAGAAATTGGCAATCAGTGGGGACCCACGACCCACGACCCAACCAATCATCAATAAATAATACTTTCAAAAGCAATTGAAAATGGGGCAAAATGCATTGAGTGCTTCCTATCAGTGTTTGTTATGCGTTGATAATTCTCTCCATTTGACCTAAAAACAGAGACAGCCAACACAACCACAAAACACAGGGAGGACTCTGAGATGAACCAACACTGTTGTGATTAACACGGAAGCTTTGATGGCGACTCGCCTACAAATCTCAACCACCCAAAAGGAAGGGAGCTTATATACATAGAAACACTTAGTATGAGTTCGAAGACAAGGTGGTCCTGTGCCCTGTGAAGTTGGACCATTGGGACACGTGGGCTTCCAAGTCGGTGTTAACTGGGTCTCTCGTGTCATGCATACCACTGGACGAAGAAGAATTTGGGGGGGGGGGGGGCGAGAGAGAGAGAGAGAGAGAGAGGGCATGGGATAGCTACAGCGCTCCAGGTGGGTCGTGAGGTTGTTGGGTTGGAGTGGGGATGGGATCACGTGGAATCCGCGTGCCTTTCATTTCTTCCTGCCAATCGCTGACACCAACTCTTTCTGAAATCTGAGTCTTGTTTCGTGGCCGCCGTGTTTGGACCCTGGCTTCCTGCCGGGGCCATCTTCTATTAATTCCTTTTTTATTGCTTTAATCAACTCACTTTTTTAACCTCTCTCTCTCTCTCTCTCTCTCTCTGGGGTTCGCCCTAATAGCCTGTAAAGTACATTCAGACCCATGGTTTTGTGAAATACTGAAATTCACAGTAAATGAAGATTTGTTAGGTCTGAAACCGGTGTAGCACCTCAAGCACGCATCAAGTGTGCCGGAGAAACTGGTCTTCAATCAAAGCATTATGAATCTCAAGATCTTTTACCTCAATTCTCTTAAATTACCGAAACTAAACTTGTAAAATGGAGCTCAGATCACTGAGAAATCGAGTTGCATTAATAGATCTATGGCAAGTACGAGGGTTGCACTAACAAGAAATACAGAAGTCCTAGGAACTAAATTTGAAGTGAGCCGGGTAAACTCGAGTCTCAAATTGTTTTTTCTTCAGACGGTTGAATTTTTCTAAATTATTGTATATATTGGTATTAATCTTGACTCGTTGTCAAAAAAATTTCTTCAATTACCCCATATATTGGTAAAGATGAGTATGCTTACTAGTTTACTGCTACACTTCAAATCCTTCTTACAGCAATTCAAAGAAAATATCAATCAAGTATTAGATTGGAAAGTCATGAAGCTGAAGTGTGCGACACATAAACAAGATTCAAACAAGTAGCACAATCAGGACCCAGAAAACAAGAAATCATATGGGGAACCTATGCTGTGTTACTTTATTGAATGTGTTGATGTTTTTTGGATCATTTCCTTGGGGCCGATAGGGCAAGTTTGGATCATGAATCTCTAATTGTCGGTTACTCTTGTCCACCTTTGGTTCCCACTGTCTCTGTGTCTGATTTTGACACTAACACGTGTATGAGATCCATGTTATTCTATATTGTTCATTATTATTAATTATTATTGTGCGTCTCAGAGATCAAGAATCTATCAAGGGCTTATATTATCCTGCATGAAAGTTCTCCCAGAATCCCAAGCGCATGCTTTGATCTTGCTGCTAAATTGTATATTTCCTTGAAGAATCCATCAAGGACTTATATAAGGTGACCATCATCGACAAATACCTAAAGCCGGATTTGTAACTTGCAAAGTTGTTATGTACATACATTTTGGTCTCGGAGATATTTTTGGAATTTTCTTTCTAATTAGTGCACTGTGCGCATCAATATCAAGCGATGTATAATAAAATGTAAAAAAAAAATTGTTTCCTCAATCACTGTTTAATTTATATGTCTAAAAAATTGAGAGCTATATTTAAAATCAGAGAAAGTACAAGAAATCACCTAATTGGTAAATAATAAACTATGAAACTTATCTTAAACTCCATACATACTGTATCATGGTTAAAATGAAAGTTAGTGGAAAGAAAATTAAATTTGCCTGTATCTTACTATTTGTGCATTGATTTGATATGTTCTTGTACTGTACTAATTATAAAAATTTATTCTTTTTCACTACTAAATAAAGGTAAGGATGGATTTTCAAAATTTTGAATTTTTAAACTATAAGTTTACAATATTAAAAAAAATAAAAATAAGGGGACAAAAGATGTGTACCTGCACACACACTGTCATCCTTTTACTGTCTCCATCTCAAACTATAAAATATTTTTAAAAAAATTAACATTTTAAAATATAAAATACTTTAATAAAAATAGATTGAAAAAATTGGTAAAAAGAACCTTGTTGAAAGAAAAATTAGTCCCAAAGACCAAATGTAATATTTATTCATTAAAAAATATGTACAAATAACCAAAATATCCCTCTCTTTAAACCAATAAAATTGAAAAAAAAAATAAAAACTGTTTGTTCAACACTTGCACCCCAAACAAAGGCTTTTGACTTGGGGTGCAAGGCCTTTGGGTTGGGTACAAGACTTCTGACTTGAGATGCAAGATTTCTAGATGGGGGTGTAAAAGTTTTGGTTTGGAGTGCATGTGTTGAATATGTAACTTTTATTTTCTTTTTTTCAATTTCATTGGTTTAAAGAAAGGGGTACTTTATGGTCATTTGTAATATTATATTGTGTTTGGTCCTTATGACTAATTTTCCTTTCAACAAGGTCTTTTTTATTAATTTTTTAATAAAATTTTACTAATGATACTTTTTTAATATTATCTTTCTTATCATATTCTCTCTCTTTAATATTCTTTCATGAATGAAACATTAAATGAAGGGCGGTAGAAGTTTATAATTTTATTTTTTAAAAAATAAAGTTGTGGAATGTATTTAATAAGTTTTATTGACAAAAATAATTTTATATAAAAGTGTTATATAATTTAGGATGAAGGAAATAGTTTTTATCATTATTTGTCTACCTTTTCTTTTTAAAAAAAAAACCCTGATTTCTTAATCAAGGTATCTAGTTGGGAAACATTTTCTTGCGTAGAGCGAACAAGAGCACGAATTGCTTGTGATTCTGGGGTTGGATCACAGGCTTTGCGAACTATCAATATCATTAATTTTATATTTATTTTGATTGTTATTTAATTTTGCTGAGGAAAATCAGAAAACAAATATTGAAGCTTCAAGGTCAAGCAGACACTTCGGTCGGCTCAAAGCCCTACATGGACAATGACACTTCAACGTCCTGTTCCCTCCCTCTTTCTCTGTTAAGTTTAAAAGCCATTCTCCCTGAAATCTCGCATCTCTTAAATCCTCTCTCACATAGTTTGTTTCTTCTTTCTTCTTGCATGGACCTTCAATTAGGCCTCTCTCTTCCAACCCTCAGTACTTCTTCTGCCTCTGATTCTGATCATCTCTCTCCCCACTCTCTCAGAAAACGTAGTTTCAGTGATCTCCTTCACCATGGCAGACTTAGAGACGACAACCACCACCATGACGTCGGTCTGCTTCCGACACTGCCTCTCCTTCCTTTAACCCCTACCCGTGAAGCTGACAACCTCGACGACGACCTCCATACCAGCTGCTCCATTGTCACCAAGTACGTTTATCCCCTAATACTTCAATTAATTTGGTTTTTAATGATCTGAAGAGACACGCGCACACATATTTATAAATACATACACGCACGCACTGATACTTGCATGTGGATGAATCGATCAGAAACGATGGGGATGATGGTGGAGAATCTGCAGCAGTAGGGTGGCCACCCATAATGTCACAGAGGAAGAAGCGTCAGTTTGAAGGCGATGGCATGGTGGGGATTCGTCATAAACGTGGTTCTGTGGATCCTCTCAGAGAATCTGAAGCGTTGTACGTGAAGGTAACGATGGAGGGAGAAGGAATTGGACGAAAGATTGATCTCAGCTTGCATCATTCTTTTCACAAGCTGAAGGAAACCCTGATCGCCATGTTTGGAAAATGTATCTACTTTAGCCCACACTAATAACTATTAACTAATATTAAGTTGTGTTTGAAAGGATTAAATAGTGACTGCAATTGAACTGATGATATAAAACAGGTCATCGCCATTCAGACTGTTATCTATTAGTCTATCAGGACAGTGATGGTGACTGGTTGCTTGCAGAGGATCTGCCATGGAAGTAAGCGCGTCTGCTTATTTTCTTTACGCATTGGTTTAGTAAACTCCGTCCATGCTTAATTTTATAGTTGGCACTGAATCCGGATAAAACAAGAGGATTGAATTATATATACTTTCAATAGCTAACATAAAAAACTCTATCAAATTATGATTATGGACTCAATGCTTAAGTAGTATAGTAGTATATTCTCACGGGAACCTGATTTACTGAACATGAAAACACAAGATCAAAATCAAAGTATGAAAATATAAAAGCCAACTATTGTTTAATTAATTTGAGTCTAAGGGTGACAGTAAATCAGTAATTAAGTATCCCTATCAATGAAAATTTTACATGTATCATGTTCTTTTGTTATATATATTTTGATTGATGCAGTATGGATAGTCTTAAGCCTGAATTAATTTTTTTTTAATTGGTACTATATACAGACAAACACACGCAATTAGCAATAGTAATGAACTTATTTTTTGCAGAAAAAATGAAATAAATTTAGATTAGCTAGGTCAGAGTGTATTTTTAATGTTTTGATTTTATTTAAAATTTTAATTCTGATTGTTGATTTTATGTAATTTTAATTTAATTATTTCGAACTTTATTTTATCTTTTAATTTCAGATTTTTTCCCTTGCTATCCGTTATATTTCCTATGCAAATAATTTGCACGTAATCCGAAATGAGTTAGTCATGAATCAGGTAATGTATCTCCTTGAGTATATTTTTTTAATATTTTTATTTCAACGGATTAAAATAAATTAATTAATGTTGAAATGTGTGGTTGTGCAGAAACTTCCTCGAGTGTGCTCAACGTCTCAAATTGCTAAAGAGAACGAGTTAAATTCAACAAGTCCTGACCTTTCCTTCAGACTCAATGTCAACTGTAATTAAATCCATAAATATGGAATTATCTTTAACTTCAATATTCTTTATGTTCCTTTAAACACCTTTGTCTTCTTTCTCTCTCTCCCTACTCATCAATCTTTTAGAGGACTTCAAAATTTTCCAAACAAGAAAACTACCATTAATCGCGAGGCATGAATCATATTACTCCAATGAACGTATTTTGAAAAAGTAAATTAATTGAAATTAAAATATGATTAAAAATAAGGGGAAATGAAAACAACAATTAGATGCGAAAAGTTAGTTGTTGGGTGTTAGCTAGTGGTTAGTCAAAAATTACGAAGGAATGGAAATAGATATTAAAAGTTCTATTTAAAAATAGTTATCTTTCATAATTTTAATTTGTTTCTAAAGATAAATAATATAAATATTAATTTAGATAGTTATAAATTAAGAATTCTCAACTACAAATTAGAAATACTATAAGAACTATTTGTACTTTCACTCCATATGTCGAATCTTTGTGCTAAACTAGTCCAATCAACAATAAATTAGCGGCATCTCTAAGGCACTACAACATTTTTTGCTCTAACAATTTTGTCTAAAAGTGCTACCTAATGTGAGCACCAGCAACAATTTTTACATGTTGATATTGTTTCCCTACTTTATGCAACAAAATTTTGGCAATAATTCTCAAGTGTTGCAATAAAGTTTTTGAATAAACAACATAAAAATTTTTGCCTATAAAGAATATTTAATGAAAATATTTCAAAACTATTCCCCATTCTTTGGATGCTCTAAATCTCCTAAGTCAAGATTTTTTAATGGATCATCTCTTGAGAAATCTTATGCTAGAGATTCAAGAGCTATTATACGATGGAAGAGACATTTCATTTCATTGTTATAACAAGGAGGCCGTTATATGCACTGATTATATGGCAAAGAATGCTTATTCTAATGTGCCTGGAATAGTTCTCGTCCACTTCGTCCCATGGGGATGTTCAGAAAGATTCCTTGAAAACCAAAAACAAATTACTCATCGAGAGTGTTATTTATGTTTAGAACTAAGTTTATATTTTTACCTTTCAAGCCTTTGTATCTCAAAAAAAAAAAAAACAATTCCCTATTCTAATAAGCAACAAGAATATAAATGTTGTTTATAGATCTTCTTTTTGACAACATTTAAGAATTGTTACTTATTATTTTCTACACATAAAAATTTATTTTTATAATTTTTCTATAAAATTTTATTTATTTATTCTCTTCATTTTTCAATTCATTATTTGAATAAATTAAAAAATTAATTTAAAAATTATATATATATATATATCAAAAAATTAAGTTAAAAGAGTAGTTGGAGCCACGTATTCTTTTAATTTTAACAGGTTGAGAGTTCAAAGCTAGTTAGAAGAAAGGAATATTAAAATTTTTATTATTTAACTATTTTGAGTAATTCTTAAATGTTGGCTATTTGATGTGATAAATAACATTTCAAAAGTGTTACAATATGTTTCTCAAAAATTGTTGTTGATTCACATAATTTTAAACAATGGTTTTACAAATGGTGTGACCATAGATAAAAAAGATGCTGCCTAAAACAATAGGAAACACTCAAATTAGAAGTATTTAAAAATTGTTTCTTAGACTTTTTGGCAACATTTTTTAACCCTTTGGCATTATTTTAATTTGTTTCTAGATAACAAAATTTTTGTAGTGAGGGCATACCTCTCACCAATAATTTTGTCATTGGCTTGTTGTTGTATACTCAAAGTTTGAATTCAGATTTCTGATCAAGCTAAATTAACTCCCTAGCTAGTTAAATTAATCCAAACACAAGGTGATATACAACCTGCATATAAGAAGTAAGTGTGTATATGCACCTTAAACATGATTTGCTTAAAGAGTTGCTTCTCCAAAGACTTCGATTTGTGGGCCTCACACATGTACTTAATTTATAATTAAAATTTTTATATTTATAATTATATCGATATTTAAAATTTATTTTTAGTAAAATTTTTGAAACTTAAATGTTATTAAATTAATCTTTTGATATATAAAAATCACTCCCCCAAAAACGAAAGTAAACAAATACTTTTTATTTTCCCCATAAAAAATAATTTTCATCAAAACTTTGTTTACTTTAGTTTTTGGGGTAGTGATTTTTAAAAATAATTATTACTGGTGAATGAGTAATATCTTTTATCAAAACTTTGCGAAACAAAATTTCAACAACAAACTGAAATTAATTTAAAAAATTTGTCACGTACAACAACATGAACTAAGATCTCAACATATTATCCTAATTAATACAGATAGGGTACGCATTTGATCATTTGTTCAGCTTTTTTAAATCCGTTCAATTTATTATCTACTTTTTGTATGAAATGATGTGAGTTTTCTTCAATTGATTTTGCGATACTTAATAATAATCTAGAAATGATATCTTAATTGCAAACAATAAATCCCATACATGTTAGAATGAGATCTCTTTGATTATAATTGTCATTATCAAAATTAAATTGAAATGAAAATTCCCAACCTGATTTTTTGTTTTCTAACTCAAAGTTTGAACTTTCAAACTTTGACCTTATTTAAGGGGGATCAATTCCCATCCATTCAACTCAAATATCGTTGGGTTCTTATCAAAATTATGTCACTATTACTATTAACTCAAACTCTTTTTCACTGTTCATATTTTTTTTTATTGGAAACAATTGAGCTACGGTTAGGTATCGGATATGGATACCTCTCTTTATAAAAACCTGAACTTTAATTTATCATATTGTGAAAGGCTGGTCCTTTTCACTAAATCCAATCCCATTAGTTCTTTGGATTTTTTAATAATCATGTTTTTTATCACAAAGACTTTATGAACTAAAAATGATAGCAAAATATAATAATATTGATGCACTTTCAAGATAACTCCGCTTAATAATACTCAAATCTGACTTATGTTTTGAAACAATACAAGAATGATCTATAATTCACCCATGTCTTAAGAAAGAGAAGCAATGAAATTTGCGGTCTTCATGAAAATTACACAGATCTGAAACATGGGGCAGATTTGTGTTTCTTTATTGTTATTTTGACCAGAAGACTTGTAACCCTTTATGGACGTAGAGGTTCCGGCAAAAAAACGTGCGGGTCTTTTTTTTTTTTCCCTTCCCTCTGTGGGATTCCCAGAACGAAAAAATGAAAATTGACATTCATAGTTTATAATGGAAAACATAACCATTAATTTTTATAATTTTATTAAATTTTACTTTTAATTCTTATATTTTTTTTCAGTATTTTCAATATTTGAATAACAAATATAACCCAATCTTGCTGAAACAATAAGAATTAAAAATATTAAAAAACTACAAAAATAAAAAATAAAATTTAATAAAATTTAATAAAATTATAAAAATTGATAATTATTATTATTATTATTATTATTATTATTTAACAATACAAGGGAGTTGGCATCAAAATTTAGACTTTTGCTTTTGCACGTGGGATTTGGGTTTACTGACTAGAACTCTGTGGACTGCCCAGACAAAGGAATGAAAGTTTGAAAATGCGGCCTTCATGCTAACAGCGTAGAAGACGGTCCAGCGTTTGCAAACCGGCCCATTGACGGTTGACCCGTCTCCCACTGAACGTGTCTTTTGCGCCGACCAAATTATAAATAAATATAATTTAAACAAACTTTTTAATACTGTTTATTCTATGATAATGACAGGATTAATGAATTTATTTTAGAGATGATAACAGTTAAATCCAAAAAAATAAATTAATTCAGGCAATTTCAGTTTTAAATGTATCTTTTAGAATATGACTGAGAATCATGTTTATAACTAAGATTAGTATTTATATTTTAATTATTTTAAGAGAAAACTTATCATGGCAAATAGTTAATGACATTGAGTACTTTTTGAAAAATAATTCAAAGATAAAAATACACCTTGATATAAAAAATAAAAAAAATTGAGAACTTAACTATTGTTCTCCCTTAATATACACAACACGGTTGTGTTTTCAATACAATAGTGATAGCAGCAAGGATAATTTTTTTTTAGATTATTTTGTATGAATGCGTCGAGGGAGTCGTGCATGCAATGATCTTGAAGCAAAAGAAATACCAATTATAATTTTTTGCGATACTAGCAGAAAAAATTGTTAATGTAATATACTGTTGGAATAATATAGCTCTTTTCTGATAAATAAAGGAATGCTATAATAGATATATAGTTGACTTTGAATTGGATTAGTGGGTACATGTGTTTAAAATAGGAGTGGACTATTCGCATCGTCCTTGGATGTGTCATTGCCCACGCAATAATCATGATTAATTAACACTACAAATATTATGATTAAATTATGCTCTATGTAATGACGGAACTGAAGATGTCATTCCAGACACACTAAACAAATCATCGATCGCTTCAGCTCGATTGCAAAAATAATATGTTGATGTTAATGGTGTTTAATTATATTATCCTTCTACTAGTCTTTCATATATTTGCTTTTCTCTGCAAATGTACTGATCAATTAGTAAAATGTTATATTCATATAAAAAGAACCATCAAACTTAGTGCACCATGCTACCATCGAAATGTTAGGCAATTAACATAATCTCGACTTAAATAAAGAATATCCACTACTAATTATAAGACTTAAATAAACACCTTTAGCTATTTCCTTTCGACACAGAATATATCTTGTAAAATCTGGTTATTCTTTTCTTAATGCAGGAAACGATGAGATTCGTGAACCACTATAGAGAAACATTTGGAGATGGAGAATATTAGAGAAGATGAAGACACTTACATGGTCGATAGCGTATGATAGAGTCCATACGACAACCTTAATAGAAAGAAGAGAAATGACAGTGGAACAACCTTGCCCCTTTTGATGCACTAAGGTAGAGGATGGGATGTATCTCTTCCGAGAGTGAAGACACACTAGGCATTAGTGCCAGCAATTCATTAGACTAGGCCTGTGGGATAAATTCAATGGCTTGAACAAACAAGATTGGATGAGCTGGAATATGAAGACGGATGCAGGCAAATTTTTAATTTATAGTGTTCCACAGGATA